TGTATTTTCACGCGCTTAATAGCTTTCTGGAAGTAAGTGTACCATTAGCCTTGGTAAACAATGCTTCGTTCTGGACACTTCCCAGTAATTCAGAAAAGCAAGATGAGCTATACGATCAGTTTAAAATAATCGGCAGCCGTGGCATACAATGTGAATCCGAAGCAATGGACAATGATGGTAATTTATATTGCAGTTTGATTAGTTCAAGTGCGTTGATCGCTTGGAAGGAGGACAGCGATTACGATTCAGATAATTTGAAGGTAAATAAGTATGAAAAATAAGAATAGTTGGATGCTCTTTCCTAATACAAATATTTAAATGTACAAATTTTAATAATTACAGGTAGTCGCCTACAACCCAGAGAGGCTACGATTCGTCACAGGATTAAAGATTAACCGAAATAATCTTGAGGAAGATGAACTGTGGGCTTTGAGCAGTAATCCTGAGGTTAGTTACTATATATGTACATACATAAATACATATATTTATATGTACGTATGTACATTAGACCGTGTCAGAAAAGAAAAAAGTCGCCGAACACTCCTAAGTCTACAGAACTTTTGCAAGTCAATTTCGAAAAAATATATATATGTATATTTCTTTACTGAACGTAAAAATCCATTGACTGGGGTTTGGGGTTTGGACCCATTTTAGTACTTACCCACCAGAGCCCTGTTCCCATAACGTACCACCCTAATGTCAGTAATTTAAAGCTAATTCCTTTGTTAAAGGAAATATGAAATTAACGATAATCTTAAATTTTTTAAATGAGAATTGACGTCGGTTTTGTTTTTTGCTAAAAAATTACTTGTTATAATATATGTATGTATACATATGACATTTTTTTGCCAAAAATGGTCTGGTTAGGTAGGTTAGGGTCGAGATATTTTGAAAACCCGTATTTATGCTCTGATTGGTTTCACTTTTCGCATATTTAGTTGAAACGTAGTAGGACATAGGTTTTCAAAAAATTAATCCGCTGGTGGCGCTGATGTCAAAATAAAAAGTACGTTAGACATAAAATGCATGTTTTCTTCCCGTTAAAAATTCTTTCAAGAACAAAATTAACAAAATTTTTTCAATGGAAATTTTAGTAACGTAACGCTAGCAAGAAAAGATTTTTATATTTCACAACTTGGAAAATTAACCTTAAAAATTTCCAATATTAGTACAAAAGCTTTTATACAAATAGTCTTGCCCAATGCACAGAGTTTTTCAATTTTTTAATCGAAGTGAAAATCCACTTCTGTTTTTTGTAACGTCACGCCAGCGCATAAGTTTACTAATATTTTTAAATCGCTAATACCAACAGTTGTAATTTTTTTTACTGAATAAGGGGTCATTTAATTGCTATGCAAATCTAGAAAAGCCTTTTTAAATTTTGACTTTTTCAAATTTTTAACATTTTGTCATACGATTAGTTTGGAAATACCTCTCGGCAAAAAAAAATCGAAATTTCCTTAAAATTTTTTTTTATTCACAGGGGGTAAGGTCTAATGTACATAGAAAAAAGTAAAACAAAACATTTCATATCCTGTTTTTCACAAATCTTCTAGCTTTTTGTTGGCGCAAAAGTACAGACCGACGATATAAAATTCCAAATAATTGGTTGTCGTGTAAAAAATTTGCTGGAGAATGAGCCTTGCTCAGTGGTAATAAATCATTTACGGAGAGCGTGAATGGAAACTAAAATAATGTAACTCAGCGAAGAAAAAATTACTTTCTTACATTTAAATAAATGAAGTGCTGAAATACATACTTGTGAATATTATTTTTAAAACTATGTAATCCCAGATTACCAATTAAAAATGTATCAACCATAGGCGCTAAACATTTACTTACATTTTCGAAATAATGCACAAAAAAATGTACACAGAGCTTTTACCTTATTTACCTCTAAGCAAAAGCTGGAGCAAACTTTTGTTATAATTTGTTGAAAAAACCTAAGGTAAATCCTCCCTTGCTCATATGATTTGCATGTGCTACGATTCGTAGCCTACGAAATAGCTTTTCCCATTTTCTGACGAACGTGTAATTTTGAGTTGTGTCACTTTTGAAGATCGTGTGCGAAATAAAGCAAAACAAAAAGTGAAACAAATAAATGTTAAAAACTGTAAATGTAAAAATGTTATTACAATTTTAGTAACCCCAAAAAATTCCGCAATGTTTCCGAGAAAAATCATTTTCGTATGGATTGTCAATAGTTAATATTTAAGTAATTTTAAGCTCTAATACATATACATACATATGTATGTACATACATGGAATGTTCATCTTGTTCTTATATCAGAGAACGTTTATAAACTTTCTCTGACCAGAGCATAACAATGCGCGCGCCATCTAGCGAGACTACAGCTCATTCACAATAGTGATTGAAAAACGTCGCCGTTGAAATATTCAGCCAACGGCGGACAATAACCGATTTCGCCCAACAGCTGATTGCAAATGTCAAACGGCACTTAAAAAACACGCAAGTGTTTTATTTGTATTTAATTTTTTTAACATTCCAACGCATTGAAATTTAGCCAGCAGAAAATGACTATAACAAATTTACAACGTTGGCTTCTCTATATAGGACTTTTCGCAATACCCTATCTAGCTATAGTGGCTGGTTATCTGCGGGCGCCTGTGTTAACCAAGTGGGAATTGGAAATCCAATTGTTGCCGATTGTGCTACTGGTTTTGTTTGGAGTTAGTATACAAATTAGTTTGTATGAAAAATTATGTGCTATAAATGTTATTTAATTATAGGCTTATGCTGCCACAGTTGTGCTCTATCGCACCTTTACATTCAACGACTGTCCACAAGCGGCCAAAGAGTTGCAGCAACAAATTGAAGAAGCGCGGAAAGATTTAAAAGAAAAAGGTTTTGTATTTCGCGACTGATGCATATTTGTAACTACTTTTATAAGCTGATTAACTTTCCAATCATATTAATTATTAAATATAATTGAGTTATATGTAAATAAATATATAATTATGTACTTACGTATGAATAATTGAAAAGGAAATTGAATTCTGTTTAGATGCATGCTGCGCGAGTTCAGTAAAACTTGTTTGGCATTCCATGAGTGTTGCTTTAGCGCTAAAGATTAAAATCAGGTAATTAGTGAGCTACTAAGTAGAAAAAATTAAGCTGTATTTCTCTTATAAAGGTTATTTATCAATAGAAAATGTATCGTACCGATGCGTTAACATACATTAGATGCGTTCGACAAGTCAAAAATTTTTAATAGTTTTCCAAATTTTTACTGGATGGCGTTCGATAACGACAAAAAATTATCCAACACACAAAAATTGAGAGAGCAAGCGTTCATTTTGATGCAAGAGAAGCGTTCATTTTGTACTGGCAAAATTTTACTCAGAAAAAATTATCCAACACGAAAACATATAATCACAAAACATATGGTTGCAATTTTTGTAAACAAACAAAATTGCATTTTCCGAGTTTTGGTATTTATATGCTTTTTGGCTGCCTGCTATGTGACTTACGGATATTTTAGATTTTTTGTTAGTTACGGCATATTGGTGGCAAACTATCGATGGCACTATCGAAAATTTTCCAAATTTAAAACACAAAAATTGTGAATGTGCATTGAATAAAGTGGCAATACTTTTATATAAAAGAAAATCTCTGATCCAGTACTTTATGAACTTAAAGTTTTTACACGAACTTGCAGGAAGTTACAGGAAAAATGTTCGCGTACTCCAAAAGCCTGTAAATGAGAGCGCTTTTTTGGAGAGTTGTGTAGAGAATGAAATTAGAAGATTTTACCCGAACTTTTTCTTCTGGTAAAATCATGAAAAGTATCAAGCGATAAGCTGTTTGACGTTTTTACAGGAAAAGTGCTTTTTTGTTCCAGTACTTTGCGGTTGTTGCTCAGTTTTTACTTTCAATTCAGAGAGTAATTTTGCTGTTTGACATTTTACCATGATAAAAACATAACAAGGTAGAACCGTTCTCTCAATTTGTCGGCTATGCTTTTTTTTTTTAAGTTTGCCAGCATTTTAAAATCATATAAAATTGAAAATAAAAAATTGAAATTGTTCGAAATTGTTGTTGCTTGAGATTGAAAATGAAAATGTGTGTGTGAGTTTGTGAGTAAATTTAAAAATTAAAATGTTTGGAAACGTCAAGAATTTTAAAAGTAACGTACTATATTTTTATCATGCATTTTACAAGATTTTGGACGAAAAGTATAGGATCAGAGCTAATACATGGCCTAACGTCATCAGAACGAATGTAGAGTAAAGCAGCTTTAATAGTAAACGAAAAAAGATCGCAACTAAAACCTAAAAAAGTCGGCATGCCATGTTTCCTATATCTTATATATAAATAGGCAATCATGTTTTCTTTACACCCCTTTTTCGGCTAACCATACCTCTAAGGTATAAACTATATATAAACGCCTCCTAAATGTATGCTTTAATATTGATACTGAATTAAAGAAATGTGCTAAGCAGCAGTTTAGGAATCAGATTTATGTAGACTAAGATTCATGCAAGGATGAAGGTAAAGTTGAGTATGTAGAAGAAGAAAGTGATAAAGGCAAAGATTAAAATAACAGTAAAGAAACCTAAATATAAAGACAATGAGGAAGGGAAATTCAAATACCTGACCTAGTAACAATGGTTGGGTGAATATGTAAATGGAGATATACATAGATCAAGATAAAGGAAAATATAAAGATGAAGACGAAGACGAAGACGAAGATGAAAATGAAAATGAAGATGAAGATGAAGATGAAGATGAAGATGAAGATGA